TAGTGAGGCCGGCAGCGTGGGGTCCGCGGGAGGCCAGTCGTGAGCGCCCAGCGCTGGCCCGCCAGCCTTGGAGGCAGGGGCGTCCGGCATGGGCCTTAACAGGAGTTGGCTCTACAGTTGCACACCTGCACCTTGAGGCGAACCTTCTGTCCTCATCCAGCGGCAGAAGCCTCTGGGGATAAGTATGAGCCCTGAGTGTGAGTGGCCACCTGGACAGTTCCTGGCCCTCCCACGAGTCTGGAGAGAGGCCATAAAGACGGCCCCCCAGTAGTTCCAAGACCACTCCTGATCCAGTGAACAGAGCACTTAAAACTGGAGAAGCTGCAGAGAAAAATTGGAGAACAACCCTGACTAGATTGAAGGGCTGTGATCCTGGCCTGGCCCAGGGCAGTACCCACAGCAAGTGTCCCAGGGTTCGGGGCCCACAGGAGGAACACTTATCGATACCAAGCACCAGTCCAGGATGCTGGGTGCCTTGCTCCTCTCCGCCCCCAGTATACGCTGTCTCCTGGCTTCGAGTGTAACTGTGTGGCACCTGTTAATTTCCAGACTAAGTACACCCTGATTGATGAGCAGGACATCCCTCTGGTGGAGAGCTATTCCTTTGAGGTGAGCCTTGTGTGCCGGGCAGGGATGTGGGTTGGCCTCAGAGGGGGCTGGCTTCCTACACTGTGAGTGGGCTGGTGCTGGCAGGGGGCCACTTGGTACTTCACCTCCAAGCCCTGAGTTTAGCACCCACAGGGACCCCATTCCTCCCTACGTTCATCTTGGATACTAGCTCTATGCTGGAAAAGCAAGCTACACACTATCAGTTTTGTGACAAAATCTTTGTCACCTGCTGAATCCCCTTCTCATTCCCGGACCTGCTAGTCTCTTGCCTTGGCCCTGCCATCCCTCTGTGGCCCGGCCACAACTCTGTCACTCTGGGCCTTGAGTGGTCTTCCTGCCACCATATTCAACCCACTGACCACTTTCCGACCGCACCTGGCTTCAATGCTTGCCCATGTGCAGGCCTCTGGGCGCTGGGCCCCTGGGTGACGGCTGCTCAGGGTCTCCTTTTGCTTGGTAGCAGCTATGGCCTTTGTCACTTTGCAGAGTTGTCTGAGAGCAGTTCGGGAGGCCCTGGGCCCAGGGCAGGGCTGGTGTCTCCTCATCCTGTCTGTTTCCCCTTCCGAGGTAGAGTTGAGAACTGGCTGGTAGCGGAGACCCTGTAACAGACCTTTCCCTTGTTGCCTCTTAGGCTCGCATGGAGGTTGATGCTGATGGAAACGGTGCCAAGATCTTTGCCTATGCCTTTGACAAGAACCGAGGCCGGGGCTCCGGGCGGCTGCTGCACGAGCTCCTGTGGTGGGTCCTGGCGGCAAGTTGGGGGTGGCTGTCCTCGCCCACCAGCGACTCGGCTTTGGCCGTGCTCGGGCAGGCAGGCAGTGGGACCACTTGGCTTCCATTGGGGCCCCTGCAGTCTGGCTCTTGAGTTCAGGGGCTGAGCCACTGAGGGGCCCCCATGGAGGGGACTGAGGCCCACTGGTTCAGATACCTCAGATTGGACCCTCACGTTTCACCAGAAATGTTTGTGAGGTGCATGGGGGTTTCAGAATGTTTGTGGGTAAAACAAGCTATTGAGGTTTCCCCATGAGCCTATGTTTGCATTACGGCTGCTTTTTCTAGTCATAAAGAGGTGAAGACCCAGTGTGTGCTGCCACAGGCTATACCTGGCAGACAAGCTGAGAGCAAGGCCATCACAGAAGGATGGAGTCCCATTACCCTGTTCACAGGACACGTCTGAGCGGGCAAACCAAAGCTTGTCAGTGGTTTCAGGCGAGGGTGGGGCAAGGGGACGTATTGCCTGTGGGTATCGGGAGTGGCAATATACCACAGGGCCGCGTGGGACCCAAGTAGACATTGCTGTGGCAGCTGCTTTCTTGCCATATCCGCCCTCAGCCAGGGATCCCTCTGAGCTCTCTGTCCCCCAGGGAGCGGCACAGGGGTGGCATTGCCCCTGGCTTCCAGGTGGTGCACCTCAACTCAGTGACTGTGGACAATCGGCTGGACAACCTGCAGCTGGTACCCTGGGGCTGGCGGCCCAAGGCTGAGGAGCTCTCCAGCAAACAGAGGTGGGTCCACTCGGGGCTGCCATGGGGAGGCAGAGGAGGGGCCCTGGGAGTTGTGGGAAGCCTCTACGGGCACTCCTGTAGGTTGCAGGGCCACAGCTTCTCAGTGCTCGGTCAGCCAGGTCGGGCCTGGCGTGTAGAAGGGCACAGAGCTGACCCTCTCGACTGGAGACGCCCTGCCTGCGTGTGGGGGTCCCTGCGGTCTCGTCTGTCGTAGCATGGGGAGGAGTCTTGCTTTGTGCTCACTTTAGCCATGGGGATGAGGGCTGGTGAACTACGACACAGTCCTGTACAATGAACGACATAGCACCCAGACTGTAGCCCCTGCCTCCTCACAGGCCAGCGCACCCCCAGTTTCCCAGTGAGCCTCCCTTGCTTTGACAAAGTTTCAGGGTCAAACACCTTTTGACCCTGAAACCCCTCCTACTGCTTAGCAAAGCTGCTTTTTGGGGGTGTGGAGAGGGTGCGTAGAGACAATCCTGGCATTTAGCTACAAGTGACTGAAGCTGGGGGAGGGAATCAAGGAACCCAGGGCAGTTGCCCCCTTAGCACCTTTCTTCCGCCTCCCAGAGGGCATCTGGGAAGGCCCAAGGTCTTGTTGGAGGCCGAAGAGTGTCCAGGGGCCTTAGCCAAGTCTGGAGGAGCTGGAGGCCTGACAGTCATGGGTTGTTGGCCAGGTGCAGCTTCTGCTTCAGCCGCACAGGGTGGGCT